GGGGGGAGGCAGAGGAGGCAGGAGCAGGGCTCCCCCTGCAACTGGGAAAGGGGCCCCTCGGGGAAGGAGATCAGTGGAGACAGGATTGGGGGCTGTGCTGGGGGCTTGGCTTGACTTCTGGCTTCCACGCAGGCCTGCAGTAACCACCATGGGGCCTGTACTAGTTGGGTTTTGGCTCTGAGCTACAGCAGAAGGCTGGCAGGCTGGACTGAGTAGGTGTGAGGGGCCCAGGGCAGAGTGGAGGGGCTGAGGGATTAGGCCCTGGACCTGACTTGCCCTGGGGGTCAGGGGTGAAGAGTGGCTCTGGGAGGGGTCCAGGAGGGCCTCTGCTCTTGCTAGCAATATGACCTTGGTCAAGTACTCCACCTGTCTGAACCCCAGCCTCCCCTCTGTAAAATGGTACTCGTCACATCCCACACAGAGGGCTCCATGGCTGTTCCACGTCCACCCCCCCACGGGCCAGGCCACAGCAGCACAGGAGATGCAGAGTCAAAGGCTGAGAAGCCCCTAGAGGACTGGGGGGGGGGCCCTGTGTGTGTGTGAGGACTTATCTGGGGACCCCCCCTTTGCCTGGTGCATCCCCTTGGCCTGGCTCCTCTTGAAGCCCACCTCTTGCCCAGGAGTGGACACACACAGAAGTAGAGGTACAAGTAGTCCCCAGGTTCTGTCTCCCCATGTCAGCCATTGTCATTATTTTGCCGGTCTCATTGAGACACCCCCTCTTCCCATATTCTGGATTATTTGGAAGCAAAGCACAGTCTTATTTCTCTGATAAATATGCAGACGCTTGATGGACGAGGACATAGTCACAGGATCCCAGGGTTCTCACCACTTCTAACAAAGTATGGATTCCACCACCATCTGAGGCATGAGGACAGACCGCTCACTGTGCTGAGCCAAGTGCTGGGCTTGGCTTCTCACCCACACGAGGGGGTTAGGCCCACTCACGTGGGAAGGAGGTGGCAGGTTCACATGAAGTTCGTGGGCCTCTAGGGGGCTGGAGTTTCCTCCTTAAAAGTAACCCTTAGCTAAGAGGGGTAGAAGAGAGGGGCCACCCTGGGGGTGCGAGCTTGTGAACACTGCCCGGACAGAATGCCCCAGGGCTCCCCAGCTCACCGGTGTTTGTGGGTGTGAGTATGTGCTTGCATTGAGTGTGTCTGTGTAGGTGTGACTGCATGTGTGTGTGTGCACTGAGTGTGTGAGTGTGACCACGTGTGTTTGCACTGTGTGTGTGTACATTGAGTGTGTCTGTGTAGGTGTGACTGCATGTGTGTGTGTGCACTGAGTGTGTGAGTGTGACTGCGTGTGTTTGCACTGTGTGTGTGTGCACTGAGTGTGTCTGTGTGAGTGTGACTGCGTGTGTATGCACTGAGTACGTCTGTGAGTGTGACCGCGTGTGTGTGCACTGAGTGTGTGTGTGACTCTGTGTGTGTGCACTAAGTGTATCTGTGTAGGTGTGACTGCATGTGTGTGTGCACTGAGTGTGTCTGTGTGAGTGTGACTGCGTGTGTATGCACTGAGTATGTCTGTGAGTGTGACCGCGTGTGTGTGCACTGAGTGTGTGTGTGTGCACTGAGTGTGTCTGTAAGTGTGACTGAGTGTGTGTGAGTGTGACTGCGTGTGTGCTCACTGAGTGTGTCGTGAGTGTGACTGCATGTGTATGCACTGTGTCTGTGTGACTGCATGTGTATGCACTGTGTGTGACCGCGTGTGTATGCACTGAGTGTGTCTGTGTGAGTGTTTGCACTGAGTGTGTGTGAGTGTGAGTGTGTGTGGCAGGAGCAGGGGCAGCACAGGGCCTCTAACATCTCCGGGTAAATGGGGGGATGTTTAGAAGGCCTCATCCCAAGGACTGGCTGTCCCTGGCTTGGCCAGAGCTCCGGGAACAACCAGAGAGACGCCTGGTTCCAGAGGCAGCAGGCCCTCCCCGCCTGTGGCGCTCTCTGCCTCAGCTCTTCCTGTCCTTCTCCCCCCAGGCCATGGGAAGCTGGGGCCAGGGCATCTGGGGTTGGGGACTGACTGCCCAGCTTGTCATGCTGCCCAGCCCCGAGGCAGAGCACTAGGCTGGCCCCAGGAAATGCCGTGACGTTTTGCCGAAGGCCTGAACAGGCTCCCGGGGATCCACTGGGAGTCTTGTCAGGATCAGGAGTGGCACCGGGCTGGGAGCCGCAGGTGCAGCAGGAACCCTATTTGTCAGTCTTGGGCATCGGCCCCTCCCGGGCCTCAATTTCCCCACCTGTCATATTGGTGTCTTGTTCCCTGCTCTGGCTCCTCCTGGGACTGTTACGAAGATATCGGAGGGACATGGGCCTGTGGGTAGGGCCAGCTCAGGAGCCTCATGGGCACCGGGCCCAGCCTCGGGGTGTGAGGAACTACACAGGGGTGGGGAGGGGAAGCAGCCATCACAGAATACCTGCTGGGCGCAGAACTGCCTGGTGGTCACTGCAACCGAGGTGTGTCCTGATGGGCTCCAGGTGACCGAGGACACAGAGGCTCCGCTTCACACATTCTGGGAAGGGGTGGTGCCCGGAGCCTTGTCCGGGTGGCAGCGGGCTCTCAGCTCCCACCGCTCTGGTGCTGAGGTGGGGAGAGGGATGGCTGAGCACCGCACCCTCCCTCCCCTCGGCCTGGGCCTGGCTGGTCTCCATTCCCTGTGTCTGGAGCCGGTGCCAAGGGGCTCCTTACACCAAGGTCTCCGTGGATTGGAGCTGCTGGTCCCTCCAGAGCACCTCAGCCCCTCGGGCCTTCGCTCCTCCTTTGCAACTGTGTGTTCACCTCCGAAGTGCTGCAGAGATGAGAACTCGGGGCTCAGATCCTAGCTCTGCCACCTGCTCACAGCGAACTCAGGCCAGCCCTGACTCACTGGGCCCCACTTCAGCCCAGACACAAATATGGGGGTGGGGTCAGTTTCAGAGGAAGGCAGGTATGGGCCCAGAGCTGGGTGGTCCTCTCTGGGTCCCCGACACCCCTCTCTGTGGCAAACCTGCTGTCTCCCGGCCTCGGCAGCTGGCAGCCGCTGGGCGTGGACATGCAGTCCAGCCGGAAACCCTTCCTGTCCAGGGAATGACTGGCTTCCACAGCTCTGGGAGATGCTGAAATGCAGACGGTTTGCCATGGGTTTGTTTTCTTTCCGCACAAAACAAAACAAACACACAGGCTCATGCACACGGACACGCAAGGGCAGATAAGCAAGCGTGAACCTGGGGCCTAGCCCCAGCACACGGTGGGCGCTCGGTGACCCCAGGGCTCCCAGGTTGAAGGTCAGTTCCCCTCCTACTTCCTGTGTGGTCTCTGGAAAGGCGCTTCTGCCTAAGCCACAAACAGTGGGAGCAAGAGACCCACCACCCTGGGTCCCTGGGTGCCGAGCCGTGCGTTGGGCCGCGTGTTCCCTGGGCCAGCTTATCTGCACACTAACCCACGAGAGCTGGGGCTCAGAGAGGCGAGGATCTACTTCACCTCACAGCCAGGGAGGGCAGGTGCTGGGGGACGGGTGCTCGGAGGCAGACCCAGGCTCTGCGTCCTCGGGTCTGTCCCCAGGAGGGCAGCCTCCTCCTGGGCTGCTGGCAGAGTGTCTGGCGTGGAGCAGTCACTCACGGTGATTATTCTCCCCTCCTCCCGCTCTGTGGGCTGGTCCCCTCCCAACTCCCTGGCTTGGCCAGCTGACACCACCTGTGCTGACCCACCTGGCCTGGGGCCTCTGCACACCCCCTGCGGGAAGGCCCTCCAGGTGAGTTCTTCCTTCAGGCCAAGGCACAAGAGAGGGCTTGGTGGCTTCTGAATTTGCTGTGTACCCCAGATAAGACAAGAGGCCCTGCTTCTGGAGTCAGAGATCTTCGTTTCTGCCTGTCCCTCACCCCTCCCCGTCCGTGGTCCCGGATCCCAAGGACTCACATCCTGTGTTTCTGCCCCTTCTCAGAGGCTGCCCTCTGGAGTTGGTCCACAGACATGGTATGACCTGTGTACCATCTAAACGTTTGTGAGCTACTTACCAAAATTAAAAAATTGTAAAATTTCATTAAAGAACCAGCATTGCCAGCACACCGTTCCCCCCAATACACACACACACACACACACACACACACACACACACTCAGGGAGTATATTCTTAGCAGCGATTGGCTGGAGCCGAGAATGCGATGCCCCTCCAAGGGGGCTGGAGCCCCCCACCCACTGGCCTCCTAACTGATGTCACTGTCACTCCCACAGGACCATGAGGGACCATTGCACAGTCCGGTGCTTCTCCACTTTGCACATCGGACTGATCTGGGGCTTTAAGAACCTGAGAGCACACCCAGGCTGACATCTCAAGTGCCTCTCGGGAAACCACGGCCGCCCGGTGATGCTGGCGAGCAGCAGGGGTGAGAACGAGCAGAGTGTGGTGCGGGGCCGGAGGGCCGCACAAGCAGCTCGCTTTGCCATGGCTCCCGCGCCCTGTGAGCCGTGCTTCCTGTCTGTGGCCTCAGCCAGAGCCCACGTGACAGCCCAGCCCCGTCCTGGACTTGCTCAGAAGAGGGACCCTCTGCTCCTCTGCCTGACTTCCCGGGAGACCTCGGCACTTGGCTTTGCTGACTGTGTGATGCCCAGTGTCGGAGGCCCAAACCCCAGCTTTGCGAGAGGGCCAAGTGAGAGCAGGGCCCGCAAGGCCCAGGGCTGCTGGCTCTGAAGAAGATTCACTCCTATATATGGTCACCCGGGAGTCCCATCACTAAGCTAACATGTGACCTAATATGCTGACAATCTCGCCTGGTCTGGGGCCCAACATGGGGAGGGCTCTCACCCTATCTAGAGTGTCCACTTGGGGCAGAGGGGTGGGAGGAGGCAAATCAATGCGGTAAAGACAGGCCAAGGACAAGTTGACCCAGGCCCTAGAGAGCAGAAGGGTGGCCGCAAGTCCCTCTCTTCCCGCTTGACCCCAGAATCTGTGAAAGCATCCAGCTCCCAGTGATGCTCCATGCAAACAAGGAAAGCCATAAGCCTCTCCTGATTTTAAAGTCCTTTAATACAGCATGAAAAGACTATGTTTCTATAGGCAAGCCGTATACAGATTCTCCAGGAATAAGGCACACAACGGAATGCCATCCCAGGGCAACCTTTGGAGAGGCCAGGAGCCTTTCCATCACCCTCCAAGCTGGGCCCCCGGGTTGTTTGTCTTTTTAGCTGGACACACAAGCATTAACAGATACAGACACGGACAGGTCACCCCACGGGAGTGGGAGAGGTCAGACGGTGAGGTTGGCAGCAGAGAGCAACGAGCCTGCTGCCACCAGCCCCTGGGAACGCCTCCCACACTTCAGGGGTAGTTGTTGCACTGGCTACAATGTAGTGATGTTGGGTTAAATATTAATTTAGAATAGATTCAAGTCTATTAGATGCTGGTGGCAGGTGAGGGCTCTGGTTGACAAACCCTACTTCAAAGAGCCCGGGGCCCCGAGCATGGCTCAGATGGCAGACCCAGAGGGCCGTGAAGACCGCCTTTCTTCTGTGCTCCCCCCCGGGGCCCTGGGATCAGGACCCCTTCCCCAGGCCAACGAGCTGGCTGGCCACAGAGGGGCTAGTCACATGCCCCTTCTTCCCCTGGCCCATCTCCTTGCCCCCTACAAAAGTAATAACCATAATAACACAATAATAATACGAAGGTGCGAGAGAATGGATTACAATGCTGTGTTATCCTCAGCCGAAGAGGCTCAAAGGAGTCACCATTCTCTTTTTACTACATACCTAGTGATAGTTTCCCTTAAAAAAGGCAATACTTTCCAAATACACATATGTATAAATACAGGACAGAAACATATTAATAAGTCTAAGCACTTGAATAATATGCTGGCTACTCAATACTGATATCTTCATCCAAGAAAACAACACAGAATAGCAACAATATGGCTTAAATGCAAAGGTGTTTTTTTTTCCTCATCAGAATTATGTACCAACTTCATATAATATTCTATGTAGACAATATTTCCTTCTTAATGTAGTTCAGTTGCATACTTTTTACAGACCAAAGTAGAGTAAAAAAAAAAAAAATCAAACCAAAAAAAACAAAAACCCATAAATATTTTCTTGTAGCTCACCAAGGAGGTCTACAAAATACTTCCAGAAATTTTCGTTTGATATTCTATTGCCCTCCCAAAAAGCTCTAAAGTTTTGAAAATGCCTCTATTTGTTTGTTTTTAATCTCAAAAATCAATTATATTTTTTCTTTTTTCTTTTCTTTTTTTAAAAAGGCCTTCAAATATATACAGATAAAAACCACTGTGAATATTTTTCAAGAGAGGGTAACAAATTCAGTGTCGTGAGAATAACTGGTAACCATGCAGAAATTTTAACATCTAGGATTCTTTTTCCAAAATACACAAACAGTATTTTTCTTAAAAAAAAAAAAAAAGAATTCTGTGTCAAGTATAACTCAAAATAAATACAAATTCACAAGTAGAACTATCGAATACTTCAAATGGGGTAAACACTGTTATCTCCCAGCTAGATCACCAGACCCATCAACTGCAAGCGATTGTCCTTTTGAACACACTACAGCCACACACGCCCTCATCCGGGCTCTCGGGCCCTCTGAGCACTTACTCGCACAGCAGCCTGGACATCAGTGGCTTCTGCTGACCACAGCGAGCTCCCAATTCAGCCAGGGCAGTCCAGGAGGCGTAGTGCAGAGGGGCTGCCTCAGGCAGAGGGCCCAGCCCCCACGGTGGCCAGCTCTGCACAGATGGCATGGACGATGGCTGCCAGCTGGACAAGCCCACTGAAAGGTCACTTTGGGCTGATAACCCATCTCCTGTTGGCCTGCAGAAGGCCCTGGCCTCCAGCAGCCTGGAGCCTAGGTGCTTGCAGGGTATGGGCTTCCCCCACCATCGCAGCCTAGTTGGCAGGCCCCAGGCATCCTGGGCCCACCTCCCACTGTGGGACCAGGTCCCTGGAAGGGCTGAGGCCTGGCCTGGCAGCCGAGAAAAGCACGCTGCCCACCACTGCAAACATTATCTTTAGCCTTGCGCAGCATGACTGACATGGACAGCTTCTCTGCAGGGACAGAGGGCCTTCAGCCGGGCCGACTCCAGCTCACCTTGACGTGGTGGAGACAGCAGGAAACGCTGGCGAGGGCGCCTCGCGGCGTTCCCAGTAGGTGGGAGGGTGTTCGCTTCGCTGCCAGGCACCGCCACTGTGGGCAGGAGGGCGGAGCACTCCGGCTCAGGTAGAGCAAATACCCTGTTTTTAAGTGCTCAGAGGGTATGACCCCCCAAATCTACTGAGCCCCCAGCCTCCAGGACACTCACTCTCTCTCTCGACTCGCTCCCCAGACCCCTGGTTAACACTTCACTCTAAGTCCTCAGTTGTACAAACATTTTCATTTGAAAACAAAAGGCACCGGACACCACTGGGTGTCCTCGAGCCGTGGTAAACACTGAATTTCAGGCCCACTTCGTGGTCTGATTTTTTCCACAGAGGCATAACGTTGGGGCAAAATCAAGTGACTCAGTCCTCCGACCAGTCTCTCCCTGCCCTGGGAGGAAGGAAGGATGGGCCGACCACACAGACAGCCCTCCTCCCAGGGAACAGGGGAGAGGGGACGTGACCCCCCACCTGCCAGGACAGAGTCCTTGACCATGTGAGGAGCCCAGGCCACCCTGCTCCCTTGGGAGGTAGGGCAGTGTTGTCCCCAGTTCACTAATGAGAGGTTCTGCTGCGTGTACTGGGGTTGCCCCATGTGAGGTGGAGGGGATCCTTCTTCACTTTTGCAGGGGTGGGACTGCAGGGGGCGGGGATAACTGGCATCATCTGCCCACTGGCGGTTGGTAGAGTGGGATTCGGACCTGGGGAAGCTCCAGTGAAGCCCTGTGCGCCAGGAGATGCACCCAGCCGGGCTGAGCTCCACATCAGAATCGACAGGGGCTCTCTCCTCTCCAGTGCCACCCTCACTTCACTAGAGGGGAAACTGAAGCCTGAAACGAGAGTCCTCCCCAAGTTCTGTAGTTTGTCACCGGCAGGGCAACATAGGAACCTAGGTCTCCAGCCCACCAGGCCTGTGTCCTTCCTGCCAGAGTGGCTTCCACATGGGCCCTACAGATGCGACCGGGGATGGACCTTGGATGGGCGGTGAGGGAGAAGGGGAGGACACAGGGCTGACAAATCCAAGCAAGTGGGGACAGCATGCGGTGGTGGTGAGGGAGGCGATGCCTGATGTGCTCAGGTCACACCTTGGGAGACTGTCCAACATCCTCTGCCTCCCCGCCCCTGACCTCTGGGTCTTTGAGGAGGGAAATGCCGAACCTGGTGCAATACCACTGACGTCAGAGGCAGTCACGTTTGGGGCTCAAAGTGGGCCAGGGGCAGAGAGGCCACTCCAGCAGCTGCTAGAACAGGTGCCAGCTCGCCATGACTGGGACTTAACCAGGAAAGAAAAACAGGGCTTTCTGAGGGGGGCTCTGCACATGGAGAGGATGGGGAGGCTCTGGGGAGGGGGCAGCGGCCTGGCTGTCTCGGGGAGACAACCCCTACGGGCTTTGGAATTCACAGTACATTTCGTGCACTTGTGGCCAATGCAAGGCTGCTCACCAAAGGGAGTCTTAGAGGAGGTGAGCCTGCAAGGGACCCCAAGGCTTTGTGGGATCCTGTGCATCGACCTCTGCTCGCCCCCATCCCCCCCACGGACCCAGGCCCACCTGTAGAGAGTCCCAGAGACCTGGGCTTTCTGCGGGGCAGCTGGTCAGTAATACTGTTTGTCAACACACATGAGACAAGAACCTAAGACCCCTGTCCAGACCTGCATGCCTGTGAAGACACCCCACACACGGGGACATGCAGCGACGTGGATGAACCCGGGGAGGTGGGTCCCCTCTGGCTGGCAGGAGGTGGCACGGAGCAGGCCGGTCACTGCACTCGCCGGCAGTAGTACCCTAGCACTTTGCACTTCTCGCACAGGTGCTGGGGGTGCTCCTTGCTCTGGTCGGACACGTCCAGGCCATCGGGCTTCTCCAGGGGTCTCTGCAGAGAGGAAAGAGGGAGAGGGCTCAAGGTGAGGAGAGGATGGGGCAGCAAGAAAGACAGGAACACAGAGTGAAGCGGAGAGTGTGAGACAGACATGGGGGTGGAGACAAATACGCGGGGGCCTGGAGAGAGTGTGCTGTGGACACAGAGGTTGTTTCCCAAGGCACCAGGGACCCTCCTGTCTCTTGCTGTCCCCAGAGGTACAGAATGAGGCCTTGGGCTGGGGTTCTACACCAGAGCCTGGGCCTGGACACTACTTGGCTGTTTCCTGGTACTCTCTGAGCAGCCACCGCCCAAAGCCCACAAAAGCCCAGGACAGAGGCAAGACAGGTGCACAGACGTGACCCAGATAAGGAAGGCCAGGCCCAGAGCAAGGGAGACCCCTGCCCACACTTCCTGACTCCCAGCACCCAGCGCTTCCTCTGGCTGCTGTCACTCCCGTGCCTCCTGTGTGGCCTCAGGGCTCCAGGAGAGGTTGAAGACGTGGTCACAGCTCTTCAGGCTTGGGAGAAGCGAGCCCTCAGTCCTGGGAGAGGCGGCAGCGGTACCCTGAATCCCCGCTTCCCAGGCCAAGCAAACCATCTGCCACGCTTGCTGCGTGAGCGCAGAGCATCACTGTTCCCTCCCAGGGACAGAGGCCCAGAGCAGGGAGGTGCCTTGCCACACTCCCAGTGCTGCTCACTCACTGGGAGCCCTCAGGGAGCCTCAGTTTCCACATCTGCAAAGTAGGCCATCATCCTGTCTGCAGGGCACCGGGAGGGCTTGGGTGTCCAGGTGTTTGTGAACTGAGCAGCCTCGGCTCGGCTCTGCCACAGGGGAGCGTCCCTGCTCCCTCCCTGGCTCTCAAAAGCCAGCAAAGTCTTGTCTCCTTGGACAATTCATGGATGCTATTAGGCACGCCTTCTGAGCAGTTCCTTGGCACAGCCCCAACCCAGAACCCCTGCCTGCAGGAGTGTCCCCTGCTCAGATTTGGGGAGATTCAGAGGAAGTTGGTCAGGGCCAGCTGGGACCCATATGCGGGGGGCAGGGGTGGAAGTTCCAGGCTGGTGGTGGGGCAAGGAGTCTCCACACCAGTGACCGTGACCCAGGATGGTCCTGGAAAGACACTGGGGGTGAATGTTGCTCCTGCAATTAGACCACAAGCTGCTCAGAAGAGCGCTGCCTTTTCTGCCCAGCTACGCAGCGCCTGGCCCCAGGTGGCATGCAGAGGGGTTTGGGAATGGAGAGGCAGGGGCTCCAGGAGATAGGTGTAGGGGCTGTGAGGGGCAGGGTTTGGATCCAGGAGGCATAAAGCCCACCCCTGTGCTTCCAGGCCCAAAGCCAACAGGGACGGACTGGAGAAAAAGCAAGAACCTCGGCCTCGGCTCAAGGGGCTTACGGAGGACCGGTTCTCCTGGCCAGAGGATAAGAGACAGGGTTTGGCTCCACAGGGTTGGGCTGGAACAACAGCTCTACTACCCATGAGCTGAGTGACCTTGGGCAAGTCACCTGACCTCTGACCCTCCGTTTCCCCATCTGTAAAAGGGGATGTTCTAACACTTTTCTCAGGAGATTGCTGTTTCAACTCAGTGAAGATCAGGAATTAAAAGACAGAGCATATAGAAGCTATTAATGCTGGTTATTATTGTTGTTGCTGTTGTTATTGTTATGGGGAGGGGAACACCAGCTGGTAGAGAGTCAATAAAAGTCGAAGTCAGGATTCCAAGATGCAAGGCCTAGGAAGGTCACGTCCCTTCCCTCCCAGACATCTCCGCGGACCCACTGCATCCAAGGGCATAGCCTGCAAGCCCGAGGCAGGAGCTCCCTGCAGGCGGGCTCAGCTCACTGGCTCAGCTCACTGCCTGAGCTGGAAGAAGGCTTCCTGATCTTGAACTGACATTTTGGTCCCTGTACCCCCTTTCCGGCCACACAAGGGTCACACAGAAGTCTCCCCTCCCCTGACCAAACCCAGCCTGGTTTCCGCTTCCTTCCTCCCTCTTCATGCTGGCCAGGCCCCCTTCTCTGAACAGGTCTTCCAGGTGGGGCCAGAGAGGCCAGAGTAAGCAGGCCTGACACCCCCTTGCTCCCCACGCTTTATCCTTTGCGAAGTGCTGCCATGTAAGTCATAGCACCTAACCTCACACCCTTCCTGTAAGGGGCAGATTACTCTCTGCCTCCCAGATGAGGAAACTGAGGATCCAAGACATTAGGAGCCCCACCCAGGGGCCTGCAGCTTCACCTTTCTGCCAAGGGCTGGTGGCCACGACCTTTCTCCTCCAGAACCTCAACTTGCCCTTTAGTAACCCGGGTAGGAGGTAAGGAGGTTAATAACATTTGCTGTATGTGTGACAGAGAGAGAACTAAATGAGATGACTGTTGTATTTTATAACCATAAAGAGCTTTGCAAGACTTATTGCTTTGTGACCTTTAGCAAGTCACTTAACCTCTCTGTGCCTCAAATTTCTCCTCTGTAAAACTGGGCTAATAAGAGTACCTATTGGATAGAGCTGTGTGAAGAGTAAACAAACTAATATATGCAAGTTGTTAGAGTAGTGCCTGGCACACAGAAGAGCAAGTGCTGGCCAGGGCCGATGTCACATGTCACTGCTGAGTGTATGTGGCGCTGGGCAGGCTGGGGCCAGGAGCCAGCTGAGCCCTGTAGAACCACCCCTGCCATATCTCCCATCCCCCGCTGTGAGCCTGTCATGCCCCTCCCTGCCCCCTGCATGGGTCCTGGCTCAGCCTGCTTGGGGTGAAGGAGCTGGGGGAAGCTGTCAAGGGGACTCTCCTCCAAGGAGGCAGAACAAGCAGCAGCTGGGACTGATCCCCCAGGGCCATCCCCACCCCTGCAGTGAGGCAAAGCCCCACAGTGTTGTCTTCTGTGGGGGGCAGGGCTGGTGAGGTGCAGGGGCTCAGCTGGAGCCTGACAGAAAACAGATGTGGCAGGGAGGAAGGAGAGGGGAAGAGGAGGGTTCTCAGGAGATGGCTGCCCGGAGGTCAGAGCTCAGGGGGCAGGAGAAATAGAGCAGCCCTCTCCCCCGCGGGGGCCCGGAGGTGGGGGCTCCAAACCCTTCCTCTCAGCTCTTCCAGAGCTCGGGACACCGCCCTCATCCCTAGGCCCAGATTGCAGCCTCCCTGGAAGCAAAGACCCCTGTGAGAGGAGCCTGGGTGGGGCTGGATGACGGGCTCTGGGCCCCAGGCCCCGCGACGCTGGCTGAGTAGCACTGCTCAGGTCCACATCCCCCCTGACGCTGGCTGAGTAGCACTGCTCAGGTCCACATGCCCCCTGACGCTGGCTGAGTAGCAGTGCTCAGGTCCACATGCCCCCTGACGCTGGCTGAGTAGCACTGCTCAGGTCCACATGCCCCCCTGACGCTGGCTGAGTAGCACTGCTCAGGTCCACATCCCCCTGACGCTGGCTGAGTAGCACTGCTCAGGTCCGCATCCCCCCTGACGCTGGCTGAGTAGCACTGCTCAGGTCCGCATCCCCCCTGACGCTGGCTGAGTAGCACTGCTCAGGTCCACATCCCCCCTGACGCTGGCTGAGTAGCACTGCTCAGGTCCACATCCCCCTGACGCTGGCTGAGTAGCACTGCTCAGGCCCACATCCCCCCTGACGCTGGCTGAGTAGCACTGCTCAGGCCCACATCCCCCCTGACGCTGGCTGAGTAGCACTGCTCAGGCCCACATCCCCCCTGACCGGCTGCTGAGTAGCACTGCTCAGGCCCACATCCCCCCTGACGCTGGCTGAGTAGCACTGCTCAGGTCCCCATCCCCCCTGACGCTGGCTGAGTAGCACTGCTCAGTCCACATGCCCCCTGACGCTGGCTGAGTAGCACTGCTCAGGTCCACAATGCCCCCTGACGCTGGCTGAGTAGCAGTGCTCAGGTCCACATGCCCCTGACCGCTGGCTGAGTAGCAGTGCTCAGGTCCACATGCCCCCTGACGCTGGCTGAGTAGCACTGCTCAGGTCCACATCCCCCTGACGCTGGCTGAGTAGCACTGCTCAGGTCCACATGCCCCCTGACGCTGGCTGAGTAGCACTGCTCAGGTCCACATCCCCCTGACGCTGGCTGAGTAGCACTGCTCAGGTCCACATCCCCTGACGCTGCTGAGTAGCATGCTCAGGTCCCATCCCCTGAGCTGGCTGAGTAGCACTGCTCAGGTCCACATGCCCCCTGACGCTGGCTGAGTAGCACTGCTCAGGTCCACATGCCCCCTGACGCTGGCTGAGTAGCACTGCTCAGGTCCGCATCCCCCCTGACGCTGGCTGAGTAGCACTGCTCAGGTCCACATCCCCCTGACGCTGGCTGAGTAGCAGTGCTCAGGTCCACATCCCCCTGACGCTGGCTGAGTAGCACTGCTCAGGCCCACATCCCCCCTGACGCTGGCTGAGTAGCACTGCTCAGGCCCACATCCCCCCTGACGCTGGCTGAGTAGCACTGCTCAGGTCCCCATCCCCCCTGACGCTGGCTGAGTAGCACTGCTCAGGTCCACATGCCCCCTGACGCTGGCTGAGTAGCACTGCTCAGGTCCACATGCCCCCTGACGCTGGCTGAGTAGCAGTGCTCAGGTCCACATGCCCCCTGACGCTGGCTGAGTAGCACTGCTCAGGTCCACATCCCCCCTGACGCTGGCTGAGTAGCACTGCTCAGGTCCACATGCCCCCTGACGCTGGCTGAGTAGCAGTGCTCAGGTCCACATGCCCCCTGACGCTGGCTGAGTAGCAGTGCTCAGGTCCACATGCCCCCTGACGCTGGCTGAGTAGCACTGCTCAGGTCCACATCCCCCCTGACGCTGGCTGAGTAGCACTGCTCAGGTCCACATGCCCCCTGACGCTGGCTGAGTAGCACTGCTCAGGTCCACATCCCCACAGAAGTTGGCTGAGTAGCACTGCTCAGGTCCACATGCCCCCTGACGCTGGCTGAGTAGCACTGCTCAGGTCCACATCCCCCTGGGCTCAGCCTCCGGGCTGCACGCCGCTCGTGCTCGGCAAGCAAGGGCTGAGCCTGGGGGGTGCCGTGCCAGGTGCTCTTGGGAGGTCCTTCCAGGTCGGGCCAGGGAGACTCTGACCCTGAGTACGGAGATGGGGGAAGGGTAGCCAGGGAGGCCGTGTGGGGCAGAGCTTGGCAGGATAGAAACAAGGAAGCAGACTCGGCCTTGCTGGCCTGCGGATGGGGGTACAAGCCCGGATGGGCTGGCATCGAGGAAGGGCTGCTGAGGCAATATAGGGGCAGGGGCTTAGGAGGCTGGAGCCACCGAGGGAAGCTGGGTCCCACCAGCCTTGGGGCACAGGACATGCCTCTTTGTTTAGGTCACAGAGGGTGTGAAAGTCACAAGGACTGAGCCTCCCAGATGCCCAGCACAGACCCAAGCACCTCAGACCCAAGCATCTGAGCTCCTACAGGAACTGGCCCATTCTGACTCCCTGCCCCGCCCGCCACTGTGACTTGTCCTCCCCAATTCCCTCATCCCCACCTAAGCTACTCATCTGCCCCCTGCAGCCCCAAACTTGATCTCTCTTCTCTGCTAACCTTGGGTAAGTCATTTACATCCCTTGCCTCAGTTTGCTCCTCTGTAAAATGGGGACATAATAGAGCTGACCTCATGAGGTGGCTGAGAGGTACAGTACTCAGAGGGTGCCTGGCTACTGCTCACTGCTGTCTTGATCTTCCCCAAACTGCCCTCTCCTGCCACTGGAATCCACCTGGGCCCCTCCTGCCTAGGACACGCGGGACTTTGGTCCAGCACATGGGTCCAGAGGACGGTCTGTGCTTCAGGACCGGCTCCTGGCAGTTCAGCTGATGTCTTCAAACAAGGGCAGGTTCAACTCTGAGGCACCGCTTCCACCTGGGGACCCGGGAGGCCGTCGGGCATCTCGGGGCCACGCTTGTCCTCCCTGTGAAATGGGGATGAGCAGAGACAGGAGGGGGGCAGAGCACAGAAGGGGCACAGGGGCTTGGCAGATGGCCCCTGCAGGGCGACCTGCCTGAGGTTCGAGCCAGGATGCCAGCTGCTAACACTTTCTGACTGAATTCTGCTCTGTCGGGAAGGAAGCTCGGCACACGGAGCAGCCCTCGCCCTCCGCCTTCCTGCACAGACCTGACGAGTCCCCCACGAAGAGTGTCCCGTGAGGGGAAGAAGGAACCCTCTGAACAGCACCAGCCATGTCCAAGGGCTGGGAGAACAGAGTTCAACCCAACGGGTGAGCGTGCTGACCATCGGACATAGTGGGCTGGTGTTTGGGGCGGGGTCCCAGGCCTGGGCAGGAATCACCAGGAAGAGCTCAGGAACCCGGACTGAGCCCCTTTAGATGCCCACCCCGACTCCATCCCCGGACATGCTCCTCGTGCCCCGCCTGCTGGGTCATCGGGCCTGTCTTGGCACTCCAGGGCCTTGGCCTCTCCCTCAGTGCCGCTGGGACGTGGGCCAGACCCTCGTCTGCTGGGCTGCCATGGCCAGTTTCCAGTCTGTGTGCCTGCGTGTGACAGTGGGTGATGGGAACCATGAAACCTTTGGGGTGGGGGACAGAGAGTCTGCAAACAGGAAATGGAGGCCGGCACCAGGGTCATTAAGTCACAGAACGTTCAGCCACGAGATCCTTTGGTCACTCTTCTAGCAGGACAGGGACCAGATCTCTGCCATGGCCTCCGACCAGCTGAGGCAGCCCTCCCCACGCTCTGTGCGGGCCCTGTCCCCTGCTTTGCGCGTGGTGTTCCCTCTCCGGCAGTGCCCCATCTCTGCCAGTGCCCCCCAGCCCGAGTCCACGACCCTCATTCCCCATCGGAGCTCAGCCGGGCGTCACTGACTCAGGGGAGCCCCCCCCAGGGCTCCCAGTGCCCCCGTCTCTGCCCCTGCTGCCCTTTCCCTCAGGTGGCCGCCTTCACCTCCTGCTGCCTCCATTTTTCTTGGCCACTCAACTTACACGGGAAGACTCCCCGTCCCTGGCTCCTCAGTGCCCCACTGCCTCATCAATAGTGACCTTCTTTCCTACCATCCCCTGCGCTGGGTCCTCCTTAGAAACTCCTGTCCAGCTCCCTGGCTCCCTGACCTCCCCACCCAGTCCCGGCCCCATCCAGGGCCCTTTAGGCTTCCCTCTGCCATTGAGGCTGACACCCAAGACCATGCGTTACCACATTGTCTAAATATACCCAAGTCTTCGACCTTCTTTCCTCAGAAATGCTCCCCCCGGGCAAACCTCTGCCCTGGTAACCCTGCTCCCCTCTCCTGGCCCCTCTGCCCAGTGAGCGCAGGTGGAGGAAGTCACAGAACTGGGCTGGTGGCTTTGTTTACAGTGATGACCCAAACCTCCCCTGGGCTGGCAGTCCAGCAGGCTCTGGTAGGCTCACTTCCTCCATCGCTTGTCCTTCCTCAAGCCCACCACACTCCTCCTCACCGAGACTCTTAGCTGGAAATCTCCTGTCCCATTTTACCGAGAACACAGAAGCCGTGGGAGGAGGTTCTCTGCGCCATCAAACCCAGCAAGCTTCCTAATCCCCCCTCCCCCCTGTGCCAATGGCTACACCACCTCTTGCCCCAGCATCATGCTTCCTTCTGGATCATTCTCACTTGCCTGGAATGTGCTCCAGGCTCTCCGTCTCCGAAACAGCCACCCCCATGCCGCCTTCCCAACTCCAGTTACTGTCAGATGTGTCTGCTTCTCTCCACAATCAAACCTCCTCAAGAGAGTGGACAAAGGTGTTCCCTCTGCAGGTTGGCCCAAGATGCCACCTCTGTCATGGCTCCAGGGATGCCACCGCCAGCAGGTCCCTGGGACGGATATCCCCAGTCTGCCTTCACCTGACCTGCAGGGCATCGGCTCTAATGGTTCTCAAACAGCTTCGCTCAGCGGTGCTCCTGTGAAAGGCAGGCCCATGAAGCTTGAGGACCACCTCCTCGCGGCTGGGTCTCAAGGGCACTCCTCCATGGTCGTTATACCTGACATCTTAGTACCAACTGCCACCTGTCCCCTCGCACGACGCTCCCCTGACCTCCGGGGCTCCATGCTCCCTGGCTCTTTCTCCCTGCCGGTCCTTCTCCTCCATCTGACCTCCGAATTGCTGGGATCTCTACATATGGCCTGGGAAAGGCTTCTCCACTCTGTCCGTATCCTGCAGAAAACCCCAGCCAGGCCCTAAGTACCTTTAGGTCAGATACCCAGTTATGCAGAAACTGCCCTGACTTCTCATCTGCGCTTCAGGACCCCACGGCCTTCTCGATGCCTTGGGTCTGCAGGAGCATCTCAAAGGTGGCACGTGTATTAGAGAACTCTTGCTCTGATCTGAAACACCTGTGCCCCACCCCGCCCCGCCCACAGCCAGGCTGCTCACCTAGGTGCTCAAGCCCCAAGTAGGATTGTTCTGGATTCCTGTCCCTCCCACACCTGCCATATCCAATCGGTGACACTTTGTGTTGAATCCAGAGCCACCGTCTTAATTCTGACCCCTTCCAGCTCACATGGGACTGTGGCCACAGCTTTCCCACTGGTTTACCCATTTTCAATCTCTCAGCTCCCTCCCCACCCCAAAACTAATCAGCACACACAACCAGAGTAATCGTCTCCCGTGAAGCAGAAAGCCTGTTGCTCAGGAGTCTCCCATTGCGGCCCCCGAGGCTCTGGGGAGCGCCGTTCAGCTCTTCGCCCTCTCCTCTCCCTGTGCTCTTCCTCCCCGTCACTGAGCTTTGGGCCTGGAGCACCCTAAGGCCTCATGGTGTCAGGGCATTTGCACCTGCTAACCCTCCCCTCTTCCCGGGACGGCTGCCCTCGACCCGTGAAGGATCTAGCTTCCTCTCCTCCTCAGGTCCCAGAGAAAACGCCCCCTCCTCCTCGCCCGTGCAGTGGGTAGGTCCTCCCTGGGTCAGCTGCTTCCACCCCTTCCCGCCAGGGCAGGCCCATGGGTGCCGCGGCCACCAGCCCTGTGACAGGACCTGGCACAGCAGCTGCCGCGTATACATGAGTCAGCTGGAGGAATAAATGAACAAAACGCATGTTTTCTGCAGCATCCTGCTGCCCTCACATCCTTCTCTGTCTCACAGCAGCACCTCAGTTCATAACTTTCAAAGTTCACCAGGGGTCTGCAGTCTCAGGGTCTTGGTACATTGCCTCTTTATCCTCCTCCCCTTCCCAGGGCAACAGGCGCTCTCTCACCCCCACTCAGATGACACAAGGAAAGAAAGAAAGTTAATTCGGAGGCATCTGGTCTCATCCTTGTCTTAAGAAGGAGCCTAATAGGGGACACAGTCACCCTCCCTCAGCCCTGCAGAGAACCGCACACCAGCCTCTGGGGGGCTCACCGCCCACCTGCTTGTGCGGGTACCCGCCGGCCCCCCCCTCACCGCTCACCTGCTTGTGCGGGTACCTGCCGGCCCCCACCACCGCTCACCTGCTTGTGCGGGTACCCGCCGGCCCCCCCCACCGCTCACCTGCTTGTGCGGGTACCCGCCGGCCCCCCCCACCGCTCACCTGCTTGTGCGGGTACCCGCCGGCCCCCCCCTCACCGCTCACCTGCTTGTGCGGGTACCCGCCGGCCCCCCCCCACCGCTCACCTGCTTGTGCGGGTACCCGCCGGCCCCCCCCCCCACCGCTCACCTGCTTGTGCGGGTACCCGCCGGCCCCCCCCACCGCTCACCTGCTTGTGCGGGTACCCGCCGGCCCCCCCCACCGCTCACCTGCTTGTGCGGGTACACGTTGATGTGACACTTGATGCACTCCTGCCCCATGTTGGCCCAGGAGTTCCCGCTCATCCATTTTCTTTTGCACTTGGGACACTTGTACTCGCCGAAGCAGCGCTTTTTGCCCTGATATGGGGTCAGACCCTCGCCTTTGGGGCGTGCCTAGAGAACAGAAAGCAAACACAGGGGTTTAGGGTCCACCGAGCCAAATGCTGCCCCTTAGGGCCCCCACAGTGTCCCTCTTCAGGTCTCATACCCCATGTCCCCATGTGCAAGCACTCTGTCTCCAATCCAGAGAACACCAGGGTCACCCCTAGAGCACATACCGGAATCCAAGGCTGGGCCCCGAAGAACAGAGGAGGTGGGGAAGGCTGCACATCTTTTTCAGATTTAAGGGAGCAAAGCACTCGATGGTGGCTCAGAGTTATTTCTTTAACTCAGATGTCACACGCTCCTGCACCCGTACACCCATGCTGGCCGCCCGCACAGCGGTGTGGTTTGAATGGGTATTGAAGAGCCCCGCCAGTGTGGCTCAGTGGATCCAGCGTCGTCCCATGGACTGAGAGCTCTGGGTTTGATTATCAATCAGGGCACGTGCCTGGGTTGCAGGCTCGATCCCCAGTAGGGGGCGTGTAGGAGGCAGCTGATTGATGTTTTTCACATCGATGTCTCTCTCTCTCTCCCATCCTCTCTCTCTAAAAAATCAATAAAACACATTTAAAATAAATAAACAAACAGATATTGAAGAGGCCACGTGGACACCGTCCAGCCTGGGTCACACGCGGTGGACGCAGGCTGACCCACACTGCTCCAGCCCCCAGCTCCCTCCCTGGAGGCAGTCACACTTCCTTTATGTTCACCACCGGAAGACACTGCACTCACAGACATGGCACATACGTACACACATGCTCTCTTTCCCTCACTCACGTAGAAGCAGTATGCTGGTCTGTATAAATGCTTTTACCTAATAATGTATCTTGGACACATATATGTAAGATACATTTAATAAAATATGCTTTCCCCACATCAGGACAGACAGAGCTATGTCTAACGGTCGTACAGTCTTCGCATACATGCAGGTCGTATTTGAAGTCGCTGTTACAGAGAATCTGGGTGGTTCCCACTCTCCCACTATTCCAGACTATGCTCCAGTGAACAACAGTGTGTGTGCGCGTGTGCGTGCATGTGTGTGTGTGCATGTGTGTGTGTGTGTGCGAAGAGAGAAAGAGAGAGCATTTATGGGATAAATTCCTAGAAATAAAATTGGTATGTGCACTTAAATTTTTTAAGCTAGTGACAAATCGCCCCTGCCCTCTCCCCCAGGTATACCAACTTAACACCCCATGCCCTCAGCAGCAGCTTTCAGCGTTGCCGATCTAAGAAGCAGAAAATCTCAGAGTAACTTTAACGTGTATGTCTTCTAGTCTTTGCGAGAGATATGCCCCATGCGCTTAAGAACCATCTACATGTCCTTGTGAACAGTTAGTTCAAATCCTTTGTAAATATTTTTTCCCTACTGGGGTTTGGTATTTTTCTCAGTGATTTGTAACTACAGTTTACTTTTTTTTTTTTTTATCCTCACCCGAGGACATTTTTCCATTTTTTGTTCAGGTAGAGTGGGAGGGAGAGAGAGGAACAGAGAGAGATAGAGAGAAACATCGATGTGAAGGGACACATCGAGTGGCTGCCACCCGCACAACCAACCAGGGCCGGGGACAAACTGCAACCGAGGTCTGCGCCCTTAGCAGGAACCGAACCTGGGTCTCTCAGGACCGCAGGCCGACGCTCTAACCGCTGAGCCAAACCGGCCAGGGCTACAGTTTACATACAGTTTTCTCCTACATAGTGTTCTTGTAAATAGCTTTATTGAGATATAATTCTACATTTTAACCATTTAAGGTGTACAATTCAATGTTTTTTTAATATATTCACAGAGTTATACAACCATCACTATAATCTAATTTTAAAACATTTTTGTCACTTGCGAAGAAACCCTGTAGCCAATAACAGAATTAGCACTCGCTCCCCATCCTACCCCACCTCCCCACTCCACTCAGGCCTAGGTCCCACTAACCTACTCTCAGACTCTAAAGATTGCCCTATTCCAAATGTTTCACATAAGTGGGGTCCTTCTGTGCCTGACTTCTGTATTTAGTGTGATGTTTTTAAGGGTCATCCACTGTAGCATGTATCAGCACTTCATTCATTTCCGTTGCTGTGAACATCCTTGTACCAGCTCCATAGTGTTTTATAAAGTGGAATTAGTTGCCCCAATATTTAAAAATGAGAGATTTCACCCTGGCCAGTTTGGCTCAGCGGTCAGAGTGTCGGCCTGCAGTCCAGAGAGAACCAGATTTGGTTCCCGCTAAGGGCGCGTACCTCGGTTACAGTTTGTCCCCGGCCCTGGTTGGTCGTGTGGGTGGCAGCCACTCGATGTGTCCCTTTCACATCGATGTTTCTCTCTCTCTCTCTTCCTCTCTCTCCCTCCCACTCTATCTGAACAAAAAAATGGAAAAAAATGTCCTCGGGTGATGATTAAAATAATAAAATAAAATGAAAACGAGAGATTTCACATAGAAATATGACCACATTGGCCCAGAATTCGCATGGTGTCCATCAGCTGAAGCTGCCCAGCAGCCACCCCCTCAGGCCAACACCACCTCTGCTCTGACAAGCTGCCTCCTGCGCTGTGTCGCCTCCCTGGCACGTGCAGGCTTTGCGTTTGAGACAGGTTTAAACTCAGGTTGTGCACGGTGACTGTGCACCTGTGGTTTCTGGACCAGCCTCAGCAGCATTCCCTAGGAGCTTGTGAGAAATGCAAAATCGCAGGCTCCACCTTGGAGCTACTGACTCAGAATCTACATTCTGACAAGTGGCCTAGGGGATTCACAGGCCATCGAGCTTAAGAAGCACTGGGCTGTGAGACGATGTTTCCATAGTGATGTTTGCCTGGGTAATTGCCCATTTATAAAGTAGTGCACAAAGGTTAAGTGCACAGACTCTGGATCCAAATCCTAGCTTCATAATCTTGAGCAAGTTATTTCACAAGGATAACGATAGGAGCTGCCACATAAGTGCGCTCTCAGGATTAAATGAGATAATACATGTGAAACACTTAAAGCTGCGCAAGCCTCTTGGCTTCCTCATAGGCACTAAGGGTGATGAGGAAGGGCCTGCACCCAGGGCTGTTGGAAGAATGGGTGCATCCACGCACAGGAAAGTCTCAGCCAGGTGGTCGAACATTGCGAGCGCTCAGTCACCGTCAGCGATTTCAGTGTGATTCTCTCCTGGGCCTTGCGCAGGGAGAGGGAGCAGACACATTCCAGGGGATGAGGAGGCTAGGGCTGAGACCAATAGGTGCAAATCATAAGAGGGAAGTTCCAAAGACGGGAAGGAGGCCCAGGGGGAAGTGAGCTCGCTCCTAGGCTGTGGTGGAGGAGGGAGTGAAAGGGGAGCAGCATTAGTGTCTTCACCTTCGGGGATTCTCGGGTGGGAACTCAGACAGAAGAGGCTGCGTTCTGCTGCCCGGACAAAGGGAGAAACGAAGATAGCAGACCTTTGTGAAGCACTGCGTGTGCCTGGCTTTATACTTCACATCCTGGCAGGCCCCCATTCCCTTCTTCCCATAACCATGTGGGGCAGGGAATATCATCAACCCATTTACCAGATGGTGCAACTGAGGCCCAGGGAAGGATCAAGACTTGCCAAGGAGTTTCCAGTGTGTGAAGAGCAGGAGGCTAGACCCAGGGGGCTTTTCCACAAGGTTATACTTGGCTCACTTTTTCCGTCATCCCCAAGTGGGTCTCCATCATGAAGTTGAGGCCTGTGCTCAAGCGGAGAAATTCACCAGGCTCAGGGCCTCCAGCTCGGCCCAGCGCAGTGGCGTTGCTCTCCTGCAGGTCAGAGCAGAGACATGGCCTGGCAGGCAGGGTGATTGAGGCAAGAGCTGCTTCCTGGAAGGGCTCAGTCCCAACATTGTTTATGCTTACAGACAGGGCAGGGCCAAGGGGAGCAGGCATTTTTGACAGAACAAAGGCTGCTCTGCCCCCTGTGCCGTCTCCCAGCCTCCTCCCAGAAAGGCATGGCCTCGTCTCATAAACTTCAGCATGAAGCAAACGGTTACTGCTGACGGCTCTGCAGGGGCCGCCACCCGCCTCAGCTGGGAAGGATGCCAGGTCCAACCAGGCTGTCCTGACCCAGGCCCTGACACATAGCCCTCTGGGGAATCAGATCTGCAAGGAGCCTGGGCAAACTCTCTGGGGCTCAGAAACCACCTCTGCTGGCATGGACAAACCCTCTAGGGACCAGAGAATCAAAGGACTTGCTCAAGGACACATAGCAAATCAGGGACTGAGCTGGGAGGAGGGACTGGGTCCCCTGATCTCCAAAGCAGGGCTAGAATTGCTGTGAGGGGCGGCCTGGAAAGTGGGAGGTGGCAGCTGGCGTGGGAATAGGAAAGAGGCCCTGTGCCAAGGAACAGTGAAAGCAGAGCTGGGTGGGGGGTGGGAGGAGCCATCCAGGCAAGCCAGCATCTTGGGAAGAGATGCAGATGATGCTGACACCATCTGGACTCTTCTTCAGAGTTTTCTTTCCACCAACTCATGAGATTTCTGGCCACTGGCTCTAAGGTGGTGAGCTCCCTGTCACTGGGGGTATGTAAGCAGAAGCTGGGTGAGCAACTAACTACCAAGGAGGTTGCCAAGGCAGTTGGACCTGGTAATTCTGAGGGCACTTCCAACTCTTGTTGCTGGTGAAGGCCACTGGGCAGGTGGGAGAGGGGCAGTCTCAGATGCTGCAGGGTTAAGGGTTGAACAGGTACACTTCCTACTGTATTTCTTAGTACAACTCGGCACTAAGCCTTCAAACAGTAAAAAAAAAAAGAGCATTCCTTCCCCTCAGCAGATCTATTTCTGAGCAACCATCCTGAAAATGGTACACGATGTGGACCGAAGAAAGGGCTGTTCTGGGGTATTCGTCATGGCATTGTTTATGACAGTGAAAAACTGGAACAAGCTCAGCATTCGACACTGACGCTCTGGTTCCCTCGATGATGTTACACCCATTGGATGGATGACAACAGAGCCATTAAAATATTTATGAGGATTTTTTAAGGGTTTGGGAAAATGCTTATAAAGAAAGCAGGATAAACGATCAAATATAGA